TTAATCTCACAATAATAATTAGCCTAAATTTATTATAAGTTTGTTCATGCAGTTTATACCCCTTTGATAATTCCTCATAAACCCAGGTCTCTACTTTCGTATCATAGAGATTTTGTAGGCAAGATGTGGTAAACTTTAATTGGAAGTTGTCAGTCGTTTTATTTTCCAGTCATGTATCTGTTCAATTAATTTATTTAGCTTGATTATGTATCTACATGTGCCTACTTTTTACTCAAAATATCGTGTATCCTACTCATGTTTAAGTAATAAATGGTTCAAAATAGCCTAAAAATAGTATAACATTTAATGTAGTCCACGGTACTCACATAACATCCAGTGATTTAGCCCTAGTGTATACAGCCAACGAGATTTCTCTTAAAGAGTCAGATTAAGATGATTTTCTTTAACAAAACATGTCAGATAGTCCACGCGGGGCTGCCATCTTGAAAAGCATCGATCTGATCCAGTACTGATATACAGCCTGGACCAGTACTGACGAACAGACATTACTGTATCAGCTATGACTACATCGGGACTGAAATAGATACTGGTCCAGGCCAGAGCAACAGCCTCGATTCAGCAGTGATGGCCGTCGATGCTGGACCGTTATAGAATCAAACCTGGTCCAGGCCTGATACCCATCATTCACGGATCATGCATGGTAACTCTTGGGTGTGTACCCTCGCTTCACGCCTACGCGTGGCTTAACTTTTACGAAGGATGCAGGGCGTTACTAGAATGCGGATCAGTGCGGATTGCTGCGGATCGTTCCGCACGCTGAACCAAGAACGTGAACGCGCGGAACGTGCACGGGCGTGTGCCTAGAATGCGGATCAACTCCCAAGAATTCAGAATATACACCATAACTTCCCGTGGATCAGTCCTCTTGTTCTTCTATTCCATTCAATCTTTATTTGGTGCAATGTTTAACTCTTTATAAAGTAAAAATAACTATTTTTAACTGTAATAATTTTAAACTTTGAATGTACGAGATTTCAGTGATGATATCAAAAGCCTTCAGTCATTGGTCATAGAATAGATTATACTGCATCTAGATCTAGTTGCAATGAAATGAGTTACAATCTGCATTAAAAACAAACATATAGTTGTAAAATTTAAACAATAAAAGTCGCCTCACAAATAACAATTATTTGCATTGTGTAAAAATGATTATTATGATATTACCAAAAATATTCTATTGGCCAAAAATTGCTACCACCTAGCTATAAAATATATATATATATATATATATATATATATATATATATATATGATATATATATATGATATATATATATATAATGATTATATATATATCATT